AGATGATCCTGTTAGCTCTGATTACTGTTTGTTAGCTTCAGGTAGCCTTGATTAGCTCCTGCTCTCATGACATGTGCAGTGGAAATCCACTTATTAACCTTCCTACAGAGTCAGTCGAGCTGTTTGTAGCCTTTAAGCTATGCTAATCTAACTAGCTCCTGACTGTAGCTTCACATTTATTGAACAGCCATGAGTGGTGCATTTAGCCCTGCTATTATCTTTGGGTTCAATTTGACCCCATTCGATGATTAACGTCTCTAATAAGTGATTGACGTCATTTTTTCCAGTTTAATTTAAAGGGCTATTTACACACAAACTTGGATAACAATTTTAATTATGATCATTTTCTGGAGCTTTAAAAGTCAAATTGACCCAAAGGATGAAAGATGTCAGTAAACTGTTTGGTAATAGGAGGTTAAATCTGTCTGAAAGCGAACGTCTCCTCCTTGTTCAATCCTTGGGTTTATTGGCAAAACTCTAAACTGACAAACTGGGAATGTCATAGGACAGCAACAATATGTGATCATACTGTTATTACAACTTTGTCATCATGATCGGATATTGGAAGAATCCAAAGAGGTCTCGCAGCACTGTAAGCAGCCAGCCGGTGATTCTACTCCTGAGGACAGTGACTCATACGAATAAGGCTTAAGTTAACTGGATTTAATCTGTGTGCAGACCAGGAGGACAAACAATAGAGTTTTAAAATGGAGCCGTGACCCAAATTCAGCTCATTCAATATTTTGCCCAAAATAATTAAAACCAAATCGGCTTTAGTTCTAGAAACAAACGTGACCCTGTCCTCCAGGTAACACGAGCGAATCCAGTTAACACACACTCTGTTAGTCTGGACGTAAGTAAGGATAATTTAAGGTGCTTTAGTGTGAGTATGTGACCACACCTGAGGAGAATCTGAGTCTTCAAATGGCACATTTAATGCCGTTTCACCACATCTTAATTGGACATGTTTCAGTTTGTTCCGGATAAAAAGGCCTCGATCTGATGTCCGGCCGTTCATGGTTTGGATGAATTAAACGTTTACTGTGACTCAGATTCTCTGTGCAGGCGAACGATGTGAGGATGTGACAAACATGCACAGAGACGATCATTGCGTTCAGAAAACTCGGTTAGGATCAAAGAAAACCAGTGAAATGTGAGTTGGCTGCTGAGTCGAGTTCAGACCAGCGGAGCGTTTTGCTTTAGAAACATTCGAATAACGCATCGGTTTGAGCGCACGTTTCTGCATCGATGTCTTTAGCTATGCAAAAGAGAACACAGAATATAATGGATCAGTCTGTGTTCTCCACAAGATTCAGAAGTTGTTTAGGCTCATTTCTAAACCAATGCTGCAAAAAGGAGAGGCATGTTTGCACCTGTTGGTTAGGTTCAGCAATATTGTTACTGGAGATGACAAATATTCTTTGATTACTAAAGTCAATGCTTCCAAATACAAAACATCCACCGTCTGAAACGTCTCTGGTTTAGTAGAACAGGCAGCAGCAAAGAGAGAAGAGAAAACACAAACGTGGACAGAAATCCACTGACATGCAGCGGCGTTGTTTTCAGGGAAACGCCTGAACACAACTCGTCGGCCGTGAGGTCCCGTGGTGATTCAGATCCGCCGTGATTGGGTGAGGATTGGGTGAGGATTGGGGGGAGTAATGCACGTCATGTTCACAGCAAGGCTTGTTCGCAAAAAAAAGGCAAGATGCTCGGATGGAAACCAAATCATGGCGTCATGACACGTCGTCTTTATCAACAAAGTCCAGCTGATGCCATGAGGTCGAGAGCAGACACTGCAATCATTGTTTCTTCGGCCCTGGACCCTTCTTTTGTTTCCACCAACCCACAAAACCAGTCAGAGACACACAGTGAAGCCCTTTTCAGACACGTTTTCTGTTCGTCCGACGGCGTCCGAGCGTGTCGGCTTCACGTTTTCACAATCAGAGTGACATTTACAAGTCTGTTGAGATGTCAATAAAAATTACTGCGATGACGAAAGATTCAAATTAATGAGAGTTGCCAATAAGAGAAAGGAGCAGTTTGCTGCTTCCAGTTGTTTAGAATCTTTTCCTCTAAGTTTACGAAATATATCTGCAATATCCGACAGAGGCAGAATCCATATAAACGTCTCTAAAAGAGAGTTGTGGACATTTTTTTCAGTTTCATTTTTGATTTTTTTTTGCTAATTTTTGCAAAGGGTGGAACCTGCAAGTTCTAGGAAGTAGAATTTCAACCTTAGTCCTCATATTATTTCTATTAAAGAGATAAAAAAAAAGTACAACAAAAGACAGAAATGTGCAACTGAAAACCATTAAAACTGGTATTTTTGATCCCACTGCCATTACAGCAGAAAATCGTGCAATCTTCATTATTAGGCTTTTATTTTAGAGACTTGGCTTCAAAATTCTCGTTTTGATCCATCGGATTGTTCTGTTTTGTCGTGTTATTTTCAAAAATAAATATTTCTAGCGTGTATATTTCTTTAAAACATTGGCATTCTGTTAGTCTCCAGCCAACATGGAGACAGACTGATGAAGCAGCAACAATGTCTTCTTCATATTACAGGTATTTAATCACATTCTAGATAGTTTTCATACTCGTCTCTTCTCTCTGTGTAAACGCTGTCTGCAGTGTAGCTGAAAACGTATTGAACTTTTGAGTGACTTTGATCAAATATCATGACTTTAATCTTAGATTTGGTCAAGTTCACGGACAACACGACACGTCAGAGAAGTTCAAGAAGTTTAGTTTTGACAGTTTCTGGTGTAACTTTGGTGATTTTTTAAAAAGTGAAGTCTTTCGAACCTGCTGGCGGGTTTTGGAGTTCAGAGGATTATCATTATTAGGTTTTTATTGCGGTTTTTGGCCATTTTTTGCCCTCGACAACCCATGTCTAACTTATTTAAATAAACAGTTAATTACTTGCAAATTATTCCCCAACGAGGAGACGGGACGACTCAGGGGCGTCTAAATGAAGCCGTGAGGAACCTTAAAGTGGAAAATGTCTGAATATGAACAGACTGACGAAGCAGCAAAGTGACATTTACCATGTCTGAAAAGGGCTTTATGGAGGCTGGGAACATGTGGGGAACAGGTAGGGAACATGTGGGGAACATGTGGGGAACATGTGGGGAACAGGTAGGGACATGTGGGGGACATGTGGGGAACATGTGGGGAACATGTGGGGAACATGTGGGGAACACGTGAAGGGCCGACTGGGACGGAGTTGAGGGGGCAGTTGAAACCTTACCGGGGCTTGCGGCCCATCAGCCTGAGATAGCCGTCATAGAGCAGAGCCGGCAGAGTGTGGCTGACGGTGGTCCAGTACTGATTAGTAAAGGGGTTGGAGCGCAGATTGACATTGGGCCTTCTGAAGGCTTGCTCTAAGGGATTGGTCTTGAAGGTCATGTTTATACAGTATTCTGTAGGAGAGAGATACACATGACGGGACAACGAGGACACAGAGGACGAGATGAAGAAGAAGAATGTGCGTTTCCTCCTCCTACATTAATACAAAGCAAGATGCCGGCCCTGAGTGAAGGCTTCGACCCTGCTAGCCTCTTATTAGCACCACAACATGGATGTAGGAATGTCCCGATCAAGAGTTCTGCCTCCGATCCATTTACTATTTGGTAATTAATGGAGAAAACCTGTATCCTCTACAGAAAATGTATCGTAGACCAGCTGTAGTACCTGGTTGTTCCACCAGGTGGAGCCTCTCACTGTTTAATGCTGTAGAGACCAGAGAAGGCGTCACTCAGACTACAGTTTATGTTGGCAGCAGAGAGCATTGTGGGAGTTTAGCAGCAACGGGACCATGACAGAGACTCTGAGGAGGTTCATGAGCTCCAACCAGAACTCAACACAAACCAGGAATGATGAGAAGCACTTTCAGTAGTAGTAGAAACAACATGGTGACCTCTTGTCTACTCCAAAGGGGAGCTAACTTTTCCAGCCCACAGACGCTAGCAAAAAAAGTAGTATCTTGCTTAGAATAAACCTTTAAAACTACAGGAAGTTGGACAGAAAGTAGTATTTTGCTTGGATTAAAAACCAAAAGTAGTAGTATTTTGCTTGGAATCAGCCTTTAAACTATAGGCAGTTGGACAGAAAGTGCTACTTTGGATGGAGCCACCCTTTAAAGCGATAAGTCACACTTTTTATCGATCATGCATTTAGGTAGGTGGTGCTGTGGTCCAGCGGCATAGATAACAGATCCTCCTTTGCAGCACTAATCAAGCGTCCATTTACAAAAACAGCAACATCAGCAAAGGACGACTGTCCACTGGGGTCAGTTTGTGGTATTAATTTATCCATCATTGATCGATAACGCTGCCAGTTATTGATTTAGAAAACTATTTAGAATTTGCACCGCTAGCATTCTGCCACTGATTGCTCTCTCCATTTGTGACACTTGAAGGATCGGGCTGATCGGATCGGGACATCTCTACATTGAACTGGATCCAGTTCTCATTCTTGGTGCAACTTACAAGCTAGCAGAGGATTTTCACAAAGAGCCAACACCCGAGTCGAGTTCCCAAAAGGCATCCGCGAACTAAAGTCCACCTCAGTCCATTTATGAGCTGATCTGAGACGACCCGAGTCCGTCAAAGCTTTTGGAAACTCAACCGAAAATATGAACATTGCAAGTAGCAAAGAGTGCAGAACCCGTCCATCCTGTGCTCAGGAGGGCAGCTGGGTTATGCACCCTTCAGGTCCAACAAAACGGCACACAAGCATCTTTGACACGCTGCGGCTACGACGTCAGGCTGCTACGCTAACAGCAGAGTGAGAGGAGTGAAGCAGCAGGTTTGTGTCGGGTTTTGTCGTTAGAACAGCAGCGGCGCGGGTCGGTCCGAGTCGGCGATGAGGTGAGGTTACCTGGGTTCTCGTCCAATCAGCCTGAGGTACAGATCATAGAGGAAGGCCGGAGCTTTGTGGCTCACGGCGATCCAGTACTGATTGATTAGGTGATTGGATGTGAGATTAACATTGGGCCGACGGAAGGCCTGCTCAAGGGGGTTCCTCTTGAATGTGGATATTACATGGTACTCTAAGAAGAGAAGGTTGTTCAACACAAGGCGTCAATGAGCAGCTGAAGATTCCTGATACATCCTAGAAGCTTCAGTAGAACCAGCCGGACTTCTCATTTAGGTTCCTGAAGAAGTTTCAGAGGCTTCTTCATTTCAGTTCAGAACTGTAGAAGAACTGAAGAAGTTGCGTTCTACTGAAGCTCCTTGGACAACCAAGACTGGATGACTGAGAATCTATACAAACATTTCTCATACAGGTTATTGATTAGCCAAACAGTTTTGTCCTGCTCCCAAAAAAACCCAAAAACTTTCAAACTTTGCATATCTGCTGAAAAACAGACTTCATCTGTGACCTTGATTTACTGAAACTACTCCAGATATTAAACTTTTGTGCCTCTGATGCTACAATTTATTGAAAGAACAACCAAAAAACTAACAAAAAACATTGTGTAATCCAATTCAAAACAAAAGCTTCAAGTGTCTATTTGTTCTACCCGCCTCGATTCAACTGCTATGCACCAAAAGTCAAATATCTCTTATGTAAGGAGCTGCTTGGCAATAAACTGAATTCTAATTTACAAAGGCAGCAGTTATTTGGCACAACAATCTCCCCGACATGATCTATTGAAATGAGATGCAATCAGGAAGTTCCGGTTCTGTTCAAATTTGGCCACAATCCCCGTCAAAGTGATGTTTTTGGGCTGCCTCCCAGTGCTCCCGCCACATTTGGAACGCTCCCCGAAGTCACATTCAGTAAGAAACTCAAGCAGCATCAGCAACGATGCTAGATCGCCTAAATGTGCCCTTTAATTTCATTTTGGAAAGAGAAAGAAGTGACTTATAGGCCAGTCTGGCGAGCAGGACGGGTGGGAAGTGATGATTGTGTTGGTTCTGCCATGCACTGTGTGTGGTCTACCTCAGACACTTCCAGTAGAACTCAACAGGGCGACTCTGGATTCAAGATGCAAAACCACATCAGTGCTGAAGGAAACAACGAGCAGGCTCCTGACCTGACCTTCCACCTTAAGGACGGCTGTTTCTTCTCCGGACGGTAGTCGCAGACCCACCTCTGGTCTCCGGAGACGATCCTCCACATTAAAGTTGCATCAGTTCGACATCAGAAGTTAATGTTCGCTCTCAAGTTTGAGGTCCACGGTGGAATCACAAAATGTGCAAGTGGTCAGAGCAGGACTTCCCGGGAGGGTTCTAGATGTGGCAGGAGCACCGGGAGCAGAGCATCGCTGCAGCCAAACTTAAACCAGGTTCGGTTTTAGCTTTTTATAGGCGGAACTTCTTGAATGTGTTGTTCTTAAATGTCGACATCACAAGAAGCTCCTGAGCTAACTGCTCACATGGACGAGTTCCCATTTTATCTCCAACTGAACTTTAGCATTTAAGCTAACACTCAGTTTATTATTTTGCTTATAGTTTTCTTTCCATTTGATTTGTTTGTGATTTTTTTCTGCAACTATCCCACAGTGAAAAAAAGCTGCTCAACATGGACGAGAACTCCTTCAACAACTCCGATATAGCTTTTCATGTTTGATGGATCTTTTTCATAAATGGAACAAAAAGAGATGGTCTCTTTAGTTTAAACCCTTACGCTTATCAGATTCTCCCACTGGAGCTTAAAAAGGCTGAATAAAATAACAACAGTAATAATGCAAATACTGTTGTATTCCCCAACATCTGTTAATGTAATTTCATGCGAAAAACACGAGATTTTATATTTTTCTTTATATCATCAAGTTAAAAAAAAGAAAGGGGGTCTATTAAAGCAGTTTTAGTGTTTGATTGAATATCACTTTGCGTCCTGAGTGTGTTTTATTGATAAGACGTGTGTGCCACTTCAGATGCAGATTAGATCATCTAAGAAAACTCTGTCATGTTCCTGCCCCACACCAGTGCCTTAAAGCAACCGGTGAACAGAGTCTGGGTGTGGCAGCCAGAGGATCAGGTTACAACCAGGGTTTGTGGTTTGGTGCTTAAGCTGCTATTGTCGGGGGATTTTACAGGCCGTGTTCATGTAAGAAAACATACCGACTTCCCCCCAGTGGAACGGGTTGATCCCTCCGGTCGTGCAGTTGTAGACGAGGATGTTTTTAGGCCTGCAGTCAGGAGGGAAGGTTTCAGAGCAACTCAGCCGGATTCTACATCCAAAAGACGCCATTTCAACAGAACTTGAGCACGAGACGTATGAAAGAATGTTTGGTCGTCCAACCTGGCCTGAGATCCGGAGAACCAGGCTGCAGCCAGCGTGGCGTTGATGACGACGTCGACGGGGACGAGATCGGCCACGGCATCGTTGGACGCCCTCATCGTACGCAGGATGCCTTTACCAGCCTGCAGGAGAAACACCGTCAGCGCAAGTTCAACACATCCAGGCTGATGATCAACAGCTGGTGAAATGTGACCAGAGACTGGATTCTAGTAGAACCATGGATCCATCCATAGACAGACACTGACAGGAACTTTCTGGATCAACACCAGGCTGGGTTGGAACATTTTGCACTTTTTTTCCCATTTTAAGTTGCCAATGATTATTCATTATTGTTCATATGGACGATTTTGAGTATTTTTGGGCCAAATTTTTATTAATTTTAAACAATTTTAAGTTGTTTAGGACAATTTTCTGTCAGTTTTGGACAACATTTGGATAATTTTCTGTCAATTTTAGGACACTATGGTAATTTTTGGATCATTTTGGAGACATTTTGAGTCGTGTAGGACAATTCTGAGCCTTTTTGGGACCTGGAACCTGGTCTGGTCCAGCTTCACCTCATCAGCTTCTACTGATGTTAGAGCCTCAACAGTTGGTGAAATGTGGACCAAAGACATCCATCCACATCCCAATACCACAATCAGTTAAACATT